TTTCCACTTGACTTCAACAGAATGGATATAGTTGAATACTTTATGAATATATTAATTAGAACTATTTTCAAGCCTTTTCACTATTAATCTATGAATTTAAAACTGCTACATCTTCCCTCCCCCTGCCCTGGCATTCAGCATTTCAAAGGGGAAACGCCAAAAAATCCCTGAATCTTCCCAAAATAATAACTCCTTCCCACCCCAAATGTTATCTTACATCTTCCAGGCAAGAAGGTTCAAATATTCTGCTTGTTCAGATGTAAGTAGTAATTTTCACCAAACTAGACTGGAGGTTCACAGTAAGCTAGCTGGCTATGCCTGGACCCGAATATGAACATGAGGAGGTCTGCCTCCTGTAGCCCCATGGCTGCTGTTCTGAGGGGCCACTCTTTACCCAACGCCATTGCAATAGTAGTATCTTCCACACAGGCACTGAGAGAGACAGTGCGACATTCAGAGTGTGAGAGCAGAGCAGAGCACCCTGCCTGTGCATGAGCTGCACTGCAGGTTGGGCATGGCATGGGTTGCACTTGGGTTGTTCTCTGCTTTGAACACTCACTCTAAGGCCTGGGATGTCCAGACATCTAATTCCCTAGCACACATTTATGCAAGATGACTCTTATCTCTTTCATACCACTGAAAACAGTATTTCACAAGCTTAGCATGACTTTTTTCATATGTCTTCTCATTCGTAGTCAGAATAGTTTTGGCCAGCCTACCTTTGGTAGTTTCGCTTTCCCGGATCAGGAAGGTACCTCTGGGGTTTCCAAATGACAAGAGCTGCCTCTCAGCATCTTTTCGGCCAAGTTTGCCAAAGTACCACCTTAGGAAAACATCAGAAATAGTAAGACAAATGCTACATAGGATTACTAGGTAACGTCACGGAGCTCTGACATGGAGGATTATTTGCGGAAACTATAGTTACTCAAGTATGTTCAACCACTTTTGTCATACTGTGTCTCTTTTATTCTGGTGGGAAGCTAATGTGACAAAGTGCGTAATAGATGTTGTTTGTATACATTGTGCAGTAGCACTTTGCATTAAGCCTATCATCAGTAGATGCTGAGAGTGCTTGTTTGGTGTCTTACAACAAAGGCCAGACTGACAAGCAGAGAGCAAGACTTGGTGGGGGGAAGGAATAGACAAGGAAAAGGGCAGAAAAATGCATCGCTGCTGAAGTGCGGTATTTTTACAGATGTTGCTGGAAATTACATATTTGACTTACATAGTGATGTATTAGTATTCAGTATATTTGTTGCAGCACAGCTATAAAACCTCAGTAGAAGGACCAGATGCAACCACTTTACTGTGCTTGTGTAAGGCTTCCACAGTTTCGGTACCTTTTTCCTTCCTGCAGCATGTTTTGTTTTGGTTTCACAATCAACCAAGTACAACCTGAAGTACAGATCACAGTAGTATCTGCTCAGCTATATAAGCTCCTCCAGAGTATCTTTTATACTGGAAATAATACAGATATACAAACCACTCAATTTTTTTGCATAGATATGTCCTCATTATGCTGCCTGCTGTATGCGTTGTAAGCATCCTACCTATTGGTAGGTATTTGTTGATACAAAGCGCCCTCTTTAACAGAGAGTTTGCACACTGACTCCAAATATTTTTACAAGTTGGTTCAGGAAAAGCAAGGCCACCTTTCACTTAAAGCTTGAAATTAGTCGACACTTGAATAAAGGAGGCAGACCTATGTTCCTTTAGGTTTTCTTCCTTTGTTTTGACATTGAAAAAGCAGTAAGCTTGTGCTTCTTTTGTTACTAATTACCTAATTATTTATCAGTGCAGTTAAGAACTGAAATAAAAATAATGTAAGTCATTTGAAAAATTGCTGCAATCAATCAAAACCAACTCCTTGATCCTCCTTCAAATACAGGACTAATGGGTCTTTACAACAAAAAGAAAACATACTCCTCTGCTTGGATGGAATCGACTGGAGCCACATAATTACTGGGAATGTAACCAGTTTCGCCTGTTGTCAAGGACCGGGCCTCCCACCAGTCTCCTTCCCTGCAGAAACAGAAGTGAAGAGGAGAAGTGAGAGGGATGCACAGCTGTAAAGACAATGATCTGACTTTGCTAACAGCACCCGCAGCTGCGCAGCGGTAGAATCCACAGCAACTCATCTCTTTATCATCGGAGTGCTTCTGAGAGCACTGTTTGCATCCTAAACCCAAATAATATATGTACTTCTTTACACCTATCATTATTTCAGAAGTGATTAGTAATGTAGCCTTCCAAACATAGCATAATGTCATAAACAGGCATAACAACCCAGTGAAATCAGGTTTGGTGAGGGCTGGATTTGGACTAGAATATTGAAAACTGTCTCCATAGCAATTATTCTAATACAGACCCTTGAGAGATCTTATCGAAAAGCTGCCAAACTGAACACTGTCACATCCCCTGCTAATTTTAAACTTCTGTGGGGATAATTAATCTGAAACCCAAAGGCATCAAAAAGCCATCTATCAACACAGAGTTTTAGATAGCCCTCAAGGATCACACTTCATTGTCTAGATTCCTCTCTTCATCACCTAAAGGAGGTATCCAAAGTAGCAAAAGACTTAGCTGCATTTTCAAATACTTACAAAAAAATCATAAATCTATAGCATTTAAATACAAAGAGGTCCATGCAGGACCATTTTATGGCAGTGTTCCACAGGCTTAACATCAATTTTTGTCATACACGTGTGTGCACATGGAACTGTCCTTCAGACAACGTGCATGGCTGTAGAATGCACAGCTTTAAGAGAAGTTTATTTCTCAGCTTTTTACAGGATGCGCCAATTAGGGATTTAGCAATTTGTATTTAATTCTCAGCACCAGATTCACCGATATTTAACTCCTACTGCTACTAATAAGCCTTCTCTTTTCTATTTCTGGACTGCTCTAAAATTTTTTCTCAGTTCCCCTCTCTGTAAAACAGAGATTTGTTCACTAAATAAAACACTATTATCAAGCATGACCAGACAATTCAGCCTCTTCTGAAAGCAAGCAGTTACAGAAAACACATTGTCTAAGGTATTACTGGCAGGAAAGGTTATGTGAAGGTGATCTCTTACTTTAAGTTGTCAACTGCCCTTTAACAGTTTGAAGGAGTACAAACTCTACGGAAAATAACTAGAAAACAGCTGTGACTAGTGAAAAAGGAGACATTTCCAATTCTACAGTTCGAAAAAGTGAAGAACAAGTAGTTTTTCTAGAAGCTGGCAGCTGACAGTATTTTAATAGATCTTGTGTGCATTAGCATGTCAGGCAAACAGCCCTATCTGTTTATGTGCCTAATTTTATCAGCTGAACCCTTTCCCCATATGTTCCTGTAGAGTATTTCTGAGAGATTATTCTATACTGTGGTTGATAAATTGCACCATTACATTTCTTCTCCTTACCATACAGAGAGTCCACTAGATGGAGGTATTTTATCATATCTAGGGAGGAAAAAAGCAGCCCTGTAGATGATCACAGCATCAGGAACAACCCCCTCTGCTTTGACAGAAGCTTAAATCTCTCAAAGCACTGCCAGGAAGGAGGAGGAATGCAGACTTTTTTCACAGCTCTTAATGTTGGACACTCAAGTGAGGCAGGAGGAGGCTCGTCAGTGGGGCTAGCCAGGGTGTGCGGAGCGGTGGTGGGGATGCTGGCCATGGCTGGGTGCTTCCGAGCCCTGAAGTCAGGCTCTGCTCTGAACCACCCCTGCGGTTACCTCTTTTCCCCAGACTGCCCTCAGTATCGTTTCTGACTTCAAATCACAGGAATACCCATCTCTGTACGCCACTTCAGGTATTGCTCTCCGGAACTTTTAATCCAAAGCACAAATGAAATTGCGTTTGTTCAGAGTTAAAAAAAAATTCAAACCCTCAAAAAATTCCAGACAAACTAGTTCTGTGCATATTGGCAGATTCTTAAAAAAATTGGCTTCTTTTGTATCATTTCTGATACAAGTGAAGAGAGAAAACATTCTCTCAGAAAAGCTGTTTTCTGCAGATTCCCAGACTGGACATCAGTGTTCCAGGAGTGTTTTAGGGTTGTGCTTCTAAACAGACAGAGCTGACTACAATGGGAACTGAGCTTCTATAATTCTACAGGAAAACCAGTGCATGCTTGATTTTTTTTTTTTTTTTTTCTCTTAGAAATCCTTCCTCCAGGCAGTAATTACCTGCATCAAAATGCAGGTACTGCAACCACCCACATGCAGGGGAAACTCTCTGGCCCGCCGACTCCAAGTATGATTGCTCCAGAAGTCCCAGTGAGCCCCTGATTTCATCAGCTGGCACATCTAAGGAATTTATAATGCGTGGAATTTCTTTTTGTTTCAAGTTATGGCATAGTTTGTGCAAGGTTAGGAAAGCAGCAGGCAACGTGAACAAAAATGGATGATAGGTTAAAAAAGGTTTTTTTCCCAAGTGCTAATTTAGAAGTAGAGAGGTTTTCAAACCGCTGCTCCCTCTACAAGTTGTAACTGAAGTTTTGTGCTTTCATCTACATCAAAGCTCTACAGCTTCATGGCTTCATGAAATATTCCACAGAGTTACCCGATTTTTATTTTTTTATTTTACTTTAATGCACATTGAGCCAACTCTAACCCTGGAGTTGTTCTATTAAAATTAACAGGAGTTGCACCAGGGATGAATTTGCCTCACTGTCACATAGCGTAAGAAAAAAAGATCAGAACAGTATCACAAAGTCCCTAGAAAGCGACATACTTGGTTCTTAACCCATTTTTACCTCTACATGATAGCATACTGAACATAAGACAGAGCCTTTAACTTTACGTTCTTAGCCAACAATTACAAGATGTTCAGATATAGGTCAGTAGCACAGTAAGTTTTAGATGTTATTTTTAAATTGCCAAGGGATATTTTTCTATGGGCAGTTAATAAAATTAATTTTAAGTTGATGATTTCCAGGATAGAAGTGTGGTTTTCATGCCAAATGCAACTGTACAATGGTGCATTCTCACTTAACAGAACTTCCTAGCATGTTCTGACTGCATCACCTACGTTTAAAAGGAAAAAAAATGTTTTTAAACTTATGTTGGCACACAAGTCTGGGTGACGTCTCTTTTGTGAATTGTTTTTTAGCTTGTTTCTGTGTAGTGATACTTGCAGTGGATTGCAACAAGTGTTTTTACATGCCTTGTAGAACTTCTGTGACTACTAGTAAAGTACAGAGCTGGTACTCTCAGTTCTGAATGTGAGTTTACTGTGAAATGTAAGCAGTGAATCACACAATCTAACACTTGTTTTTGAAGTAAAGCTGCATGTGGTTGAAGGGGCTTTTTTCAATAATAAAGCACTTTGCAAAATGCAAAGACAAGTAAGTAAGCAAGCACAGAGTAAATCCCCTACATATCTTGAATATACATTAGATTTTACTAATAAGATAAGCAGACAAATATAATTCTTGACATTATAACTTTAAAAATATTAAAAAGCATACTCCCAAGCCTAAAACTTACGAGCTGTTAAGAATTTGAAATTTTTCTCCTTTGTGAAAACTCAAGTCATCTTCTGTTCTTGCTTCATAGTCATAAAGCGCCACGAAAAGAGTTACACCTAAGGAAGAAGATAGGTGAGTTACACTCCCATCACACAAAACAGGAGGGAAAGGAGCCTCAAGACATGAGGTGGCTAAGCCAAATGTAAGTTACTCCGGTTGCTGAGGAGCAAAATAAACTGAAGCCTGCTGCTTTTTGTTTGGCCTTTCTAATCCCTCTGCTTGTATGCAGCCAGCGGGCACGCCACTGCCGTCAGTTTATAGAGTCATCAGTCTTCTTGGTTTGGTACCCACACAAAATGCAGGGATCAAACAGGCAAAGGGGATTTGAAGAGAGGGTTTAGGCATAGCCGTGGCAAGTATTTCCTGCTAACAACTTGAGGTGGCTCAGACCACACCTTCCGTTCCCTGGTAGAGGGATGAGGCAGCAATCAGCCAAATTGGGCACATATACATAATTTCTCAACCCCCAAGTAAACTAGCACCTCCAAGTTAGCAAAGGTGGGGCTACAGACCCAGCTCCACCCCTACTTCAATTCTTTGCACTATCTCATGAAATAACTCTTCTCAAAACCAGCCTGCCAAGGCAGCCGTGCCCCTCCTGTAGCTGTGTGACTGATACTCACTAAAAGCACTAAAAGAAGACTTTAAAACTCACCTGTTCCTCCTCTTGTACGCAGTGTCCCTGTATGAGAGGAGGAATTGACTCCACCAAACACAGTCAGTCCTTGGCCTCCTGTGGCATGGAAGTTGTTGTAGTTTGGGATTGAAGTCACACCAAAGCTGGGATAGTGCTGCGGAGTGGGATCTGTCCCATAGCGGTAGCCTGAGCTTTGAGTTAAACTGCCATCCCTCTCGTCAGTCAGTTTTGTTGCTTCTTTATCCTTACATTGCACACAGCCCATTATCTAAAATCCTAGAAGAGGAAGGAAAGGACAGGTGTTCATCCATTGATGCTCACCAGATCTCTACCGAACCCACAGATGATGAGGATCAAATTAAGTTAAAAACACTTCAAAGTTAAGTTAAAAAAACCAACACAGTAGTTTGAATATAAACAGCAACACATTGGGAAAAGCTCACACAAAATCTTCCTTGCAGTGGTTTCCCATCCAGGCCTGGGGAAGGAGGTCCTGACTGCTTTTATGGTGGTGGCAGCTCTCTCCCCAGCCCTGCTGGGCAATGGCTTGCATGGAGGCAATAAGAGCTTCCTCTCTTGCTCAGTCTTTGCCAGGAGGGCACGACTGGCAGGCAAAGGCCACAGCCAAAACATAGAGCTGGAGGTGTCCAAGTCTGCCCCCAAAATACAGAGCGAGGCACTTAAGCTTATGGTTCGTGCTCGACCTTGCCAACTCCACAAGAACTGACTTCACCTAAAGGCAATATAACCTTTCTCCATTGCTAGAGCTCTGCGTGACAAGCAGAAAAGCAGACACAATGACTGATAGTTATTACAGCACAGGAAAGTAGGAGGGAGTTATCAGATGGCACAACTAAAACAAAAGGAAGTGCCCTTTTATGCAGTACCGACCTGAAGGGTATAAAACCTGCTGGTAGCAGACGGTGGGGCTGCCAAAGGTATACATGAGTTAAGAAACTAGAGAAAGTCCCGTAAGAATTAACACGTCGAATGCAGATCATCTCAAAGCCTGGATCCCAGACAGGAGGAAACTGAGAGGGTATGGCTTGGAAAAAGTTGCTTTAAGTCTTAATTCTTGTAACCTCTTATTTAGTCCCCACATGGGGCGCTACCAAGGCCTGGGTTAATCTCTCTTGATTTTAGGTGCCTACCTCTCTCTAGGTGGAGGAAGACAGCGGGTGATTCGCCACATCTTAGGAGCAGCCCTGCAAGGTTAGTCCTGTTACCTGGTATTGCCTTTCAGCTGCGAGCTCTAACATCTTATAATCCACGTGCCGGTGCTACCAAACTCTTTCTTACTGACTTGAACTGAATCTAGACACAAAACCTGAGGTTTCTGAAGTTGAGTATGATGAATCTAGGGAATCAGATACTCATCTGGATGCACCCTTGATCTGAACTGGTGTGGTGACCTTTACATGTAACCTGGCACAGAAACAACATACTCTAAACACTGGGGCTGCAAGAAGAGCAGTGACAATAGAAAAATCTTTAGTAAATACATACTTTGTCCAGAATATATAAACAGACATAGAGAAAATGCAGAGAACAGAAAAAAAAAGTATAGCAAAGCACATTTTCTTCCCTCCATCTTTCTTTTCACATTTCAGCCAATATCCGTCACTTAGGGTAACAAAAAAGCCTATCCTTTTTCAAATATCCTCATTTTTCTGTAGTTGCCAGGCTGCCTATTTTGTATGCCTTATCCCAACATCAACACAGGAAATTGGTTTTGACAAACTCATGGGATTCAGAAAAAACATATTCCTCTGCTGCTAATGCTTGAAAAATTATGCAGCATCTCCTTGCTTGTCTGTGACAGACCACAGTCTGGATACCTGTTTCCTAAATCTAACCTGCCTAATTAAAAAGCCCTTCTGTTGAAGGGTATTTTCTACAATTTGAAGATACTTCCAATTATTCTACAAGCCTGTTCAGAAAAACAAGCACCATTTTAATGTTTTTCCCTGAGCTGTATTGCCTGCAGTTAGGACACGTCTATTGTCTCGTGCTCTTAGCGTAACTTAAAGGTGCCATTTTTGCATTTCTTTATTTCCTTCAGGACACCACATACATTCAGTAGAGTTCCCTCACCAAAATGTTTAAGTCCCTTCACACAAACAGAAACAAGGACTCCTGACTCTGCCCTTGCTGCAAAGGGTGGCATAAGCAGGGATCCCTCAAGAAACTGAAGTGACAACGGGTTGAAGCAAAAGGTTTTCAGCCTTGAGCCTGCAAAACACACTGCTGCTGCTACTGCTGTGGCAGTCATGCCATCCTCCAGCCTCTGCTCGCCCTGGGAGCTGGGTCAGTGCTGGAGGTGCGGGGTACCATGCTGTGGCTCGAGGTTGTCCATCCCCAGGACCAGCAGTGACTCCAGGTGAGGCCACAGGGACGGTGATAGGTGCAGAGGTGCCCCAGACAGCTTTGTATCAGCTGTAGAAAAACTGCTTAGGGAGATATCTCTGTGGCTTTTACCCCTTTCAACAGCAGGACAGTCTGGCTCTGGAGACCCTCTCTTTGGAGATGTCACTCAGAGGTGAGGTTTTCCTGGCTCCTCTCAGAGCCAAGGAGCCCCACGAGCACTGCCAGGGAGTGAAGCAGGAGCACAGGGAGGTCGAGGGCTCCACAGGGCTCATCTCACCGCCATCGGCACTGGCAGAGCTCCAGGAGGCTTTGGGTGGGAGGGACAGACCTAGGACTCACTGCTTGGACTCTGCTGTGCCTCTGTGAAAGCGTGCCTCTGGTGCATGGAGAGCAAAACACGGGCAGCGAGCAAACGCTGCATGGGAGATGCCACAGAGGGAAATCCCAGCTCGAGAGAAAGGGCAGAGAGAGGCGCCAAACATCTAAACAGGGAAGAGTGAGCCATTAAAGCAGACTGGTTAAAAAATATAAGTGCTGGAACATACACTTATTCACCTCAAAACAGTTAAGTGATATGCAGGCTTTACTATCATCTCAAGAAGAATCTCAGCAGCCTTTTTGTTAGCTTGCAAACTTACCTCCCTGTGAAACTCTATCGCCTCCTCCCTTATCCCAGCTCTGTTTCTCCTCTTATTTTTTCCCATGTGTTTTCACGGGAAAATGTAGAAAAGAAAATGAAAGGGTGAAAGAAAGAAAGAGATGGCAAACATGAAATCTGGGAGAGCGGTGGGGGAAAGGGGTTTTCCTGTTCATTCACAAACAGTCAGCTGAGCAGGGAAAAAAAATCTCTACTGCAATCTGGGAAGATTTCACATGCCAATTTACAATTGCTGACAAGACAGCCCTTACATGCTTTATTTACATATTGATGAGAAAAAAGTTAAAACAACAAATCAGGTACAAAAATAAAATTGTTCAAAGTATTAATTCTGAAAAAAATGAATAAACCAGGAGATGGTAGACATATGTACTGGTAATTTCAGAAAAATAATGGTTTGGAGTTTTCTTTTTGCTAGGAATGATATAAATAGAAAACCAATGAATTACCAGTTTCTTGGGTTTTGTTTGGTTTTTGCTCCCTTTTTCTTTTTGCTGGCAACAGCAGCACACAGGGAAGGAGAATTTGATGCAAAGTGAATGATTGACAAAAAGGGCTTTTTCTTTCACTTGCCCTCTCCCACTTTGTCACAGTGTCTAGACAATCTGAGCATAAAGACTGCTTGATTGTAGCTTCTTGTAAAATGTGACAGAGGGTGTTACATGCATGCATCTTTTCAAGCCAAGCGCCTGAAAGTTGTCTGTTCCTGGCTCAAAGAAACCAGCATCACGGGGAGTTGGCTAAATGTGAGAGAATACATGTATGCATGTACATGCGTAAAGTGATTTCAGCTAACTCAGGAGTTTCATAGACAATAAATATAACCTCCATTCAGCATTGGTCTTTGTGTCAATGAATGGATTCCAAAAACTAATCTCCTTCAGTATCACAGAGCAGGCTTTTAATATCCGAAAGTCTCATCTCCCTGCATGTCAGCATTTGGAGCTGTGGAAGGCTGGAGTTATTCAGCCAGCTCTGAGATCACCAAACAAAATCTGGAGCTGTTTTACACTAAACTCTCTAGAGACAAGCACACAACGTTGTTCATCCAACACGCTGTGCAACTTACAGTAAAGGAACAAGATTTTATTCCAACCCCATTAGCAAAGGCAGAATTTCTCAGATGTGTGAGTTACGGGTCATGCAGCATTATCATAATTTGACAATGGTATTGTTAAAAGGTATGTTACTAGCCTAATTAAAATGAACTTTTCTGATGCAAGCAAGTTGTATTTGTTTATTTTAAAGTTGTGTTTTTATGGGCAATATAAAACATGTGTTTTCATGAAAAAATAAAAAATTTACATGGTTTTTGAGACTTCCTTAGAGACAAATGAAAATAACCCTTATGTTATTTGTCTCCTCTCTTGTGCTTGCTATGTTTCTTGGATTCCAACATTTACGTTGCAAGCAATCCAACATCAGCCTAACCAGAATAGCAGTTTCCTCCCACATGTTGGAAACATTATTCAACAAAGATATAAAATTAATTATATCATTATTAATTATTTATATAGTCATACCACCTTAATGGCTTTCAGTTAGGAAACAGATGAAGGCTAACATGTTATTAACACTATTATTATTGTAAATCACGCTCCTTCAGTTTTTCTGTTGGTTCTCGACACAAAATGGAAGCCAAGACTGAAACAACCACCAAAGCCAGACATCCACTCCATTAACAGAAACAAAAGCAGCCCTCTGTTAGCTAATCAAAGCCTAGGAAAAGTCCAGGAGTACCAGGAAAAGTCAATTTTTCATACTCATATTTTACAAGTTAAAGCTCCAACACGTGATATTTGAAAAGTACAAATTATTGATGAGCTTTTGCTTAGTCTACCTTCTGCAGTTGTAAGCCATCGGGAAAAGATGGATGGGAGGAAGACTGGTGTAAATTCACTCCTTCAGAGCATCAGAAGGTTTTCCATAAGATATTGCAACTTGCAGCTGAAACTCTGAATTATGGTACCTCTTCAGAACCTGCTTTTTTGAATATTGTAGGAGAAAATGGGTCCTTAAAATGTTTGAGAGAGGGGTATGTCTATTCTGCACGCTCCTAGCCATGCCAGGGCCTCTATCCTCCAACCCCTTGTGTAGGAAAGGAGACTACCATGGGACAGGGCTCCAACCTGCTGAAGAGACGTGGAGCTGGTTCAGACCCAGCAGGGCACATTCTCCTTCCTCTTGGTTTTCTCTGGAATAAAATTTGATGGTATATTTTTAGAACTTCTTTCAATGAAAGACATGAAAG